CTGCTCTCGCGAAGGGAAGGATATGGATGAGGTGCTGGGGATCCGGCGGCATCACCGGGGGCGGGGTGGGGGCTTTGGCGATCACCGCCGCGGATCCTACCTCTCCCGGGGCGATCGAATTGAGCGGGAGTTCGAAAATTACATTAATGAGCGCGATCGCCAGCTTCGCAGAGATGAGGAAAAAAAGGGGTTTGAAGAGGATTTAGCGCCTGTTAAGGATGACGCGCAAACGGTCTCTGCAGAAAACACAAACGAAGCGGCCATACAGCCAAAGGATCTGGTCTAAAGTGGATCGGTAAAATAAAAGGTAAGACAATTATCTCCTCTATATGAAGTGGCACTATCGTAGCGTGATTTTAGAAAATGAAAAACCTTTGGATCCAGTAGAACCATTTTCAAAGGAACTATAGTGAGACGGATAAAGGGTTCTCATTTTACTTTTGCCTTTTCAGTGACATGTGCGGGTTTTATGCGTTACGCTTAAAGAGTGTAGGTGATGCGGTGGAATATTATTTTTGTTAAGTGTTGGTTTTTGGTGTGTTGAGGGGAGAAGGAAGACTTTTCTTTTTATAACAAAGTATGTGTTTCCACCGTTACTTCGATTGTTAGAATTTTTTCTCTTCTAAAGATGGTATATAGATGTTTTTCTTATCACTTATTAACACACAACACCTTTTTGCATTTCATATTTACTTATTTTCTCCCTTAAGACAGATACCTCATGGAAGCGATCAACATTCTGTGCAAGGTTCTTCCCTGACGCTAGCCTTGTAATTCCTATATATATATAATATAATAACCATCTAGAAATATTTATTAGATTGTATCTCATTTGTTTGTTTGTTTCAATAGCATCGGACTGATTAAATAGGGGAAGGAACACAAAAAGAACTTATTTTGTGTATGTTCTTCCTAACAGGGTTTCAGGGTGCTCAAAAAGGCCCTTTTCACCTATCCTCTTGCCATTTTAAAAAGAAAACAAAGTACGACGCTCTCGCAGCTAAATCTTTGGAGGCACAACTCCTTTCCTACTTCAGTACCTCGCAGCGTTATCTAGATATTTCCCTCCCCACCCTTCAGATGAAATCTTCGTTGGATGCATCTGCTATTATCCAGCCCATGCTCTTTCCATCTTCCTTCAATAGTCAACCGCCCCCTCCCGACGCGACAAAAACTATCCCCAAGAAAGAAAATTTAAATAGTTCAATAATGGAAGAAACGAGTCTTTATTGCACTACGACTGACTTTCAAAATGCCGCTCGACATCGTCCAGAATGCAAGGATATGGTGCGTTACCGCCTTCTATCCTCACGGTTCACAAATAATATTGAAAAAGGGTTTAAAGAACACGAGTATTGCGAGTGCAGCTTTACAACTATTCAACAAAAAATAGAGAACATATGGGAAAACGCACACGCCACGTACCGCTCGTTTGTGATGCCTCAAAACGACCTTTCTTCGCGCACAAGTGGAGAAGAAACGGGCTTCACATCTTCTCCGAAATGGAGGGTGGGGAGGTTGCCGGATCGTGTGGTTTTTATTATTATGCATAGCAGCTGTCAGCACACCTTTCCGGTTGGGGAGCCCATGCGGACGCTTTACGAGCGTATTTGCCAGCTTGCCTACGAAACCCCTCGCGCGGGTGGTGATAAAATACTCCGAATGGTGCCCATACGGATTGGACTGAAGGATTCTGAGCTCAATGACATTCCAAAATACTACGAACCTTACGAAAAGAATAGTGAAACCAATGAAAACAACAACCAAAATAGTAATACCGAGTCTAATCAAGCGAACGGTCCATTTAGCGGCCTTTCTTATTCTCCGGGCCTTTATTTTCCGTACGGCGGGTTGTATACCCTACACGGCGTCCTCCAACGACTGCGCGCACTACCCTCCATTAATATACCGACAAAAATACCTACAACAAAACTTACACAAAAACAAAATTTGGAAAGAAGATTTAATGGGGGCTGTGGTACTCTTAAACGGCGTATTATAATTCTTTCGGATGCCTGGCTGCAGCCTCGTCTAGCGGCGGCAATGCATGGGGCTGCAATTGATCCTGAAAAGGATTGGTTAGAGCGAAAAAGCCACGAAAATTGTGTGAAGTTTGCTTGCAAAAAGGCAATGGAATGTAAAATTCAAAAACCTCTTGGAAAACGATTGACACGTTACCGAAATGATGAACATACCGTGAGTGTCTTTCCGGCCGTTATGAGTGAGGGGTTGAGCGAGAAAGAGATCGATGCTTTTGCACGATATGCTCTTGTTCACTATATACTAAGTTAAAGGAAAGAGGAAAATATACCCAGCAGTTCATCCAACTTTATGAAGTAAATTGTGGTCCTATTAGTATAAACTTCAATATTTTGCCATTCTCACCTAAGTAATAATTTCAGATCTAATTTTTTTTTATTAGCGTTGTTATGCTCATCGTCCTCGATGGTTTCTTCTATTGGAACGAGCAATTGTTCGATTGCTTTTCCTAGTTTATTGTTCACCTGCCTGCCTTTTTTCTTGCTCAAAATGACTTTCAGCTGATCCGAGGTCTGCATTTTTAGGAGACATATTAGTTTCTAAAAGCACCCAATCATGCGGTTAAAATTTCAAACACAGTTCTTTTTTGCAGGAGTATTCATCTCAATCCTGGTGTGTAAGAAGGTTGCACCTTTTATTCCTTTTATTGGTTTTGCATATCCCATTTTTGTGTCTATCTTAACAACGCGAACAATTTTATTTTGTCCTATTTAATCCTTCCTTATTTCATCCTTTCCTTATGTGTTTGTAATGAAGTGATTTTATTCTTATTCTTATAGAAGGCAGAATAAATGACGTAGGACTTGACATACAAACACACAAGGAAAAAGGAATGTCGACGACAGCTAAGACGAATTCCGCTCGTAGTATCCTGTTTAGCAATACCAGGCGTCAGTTCAAGGAGCGCAACAGCACGAATCCCTCACCGCAGGAGTTCACCAACGTCGAGGCGCCTTCCAAAGGCCCCCCCCACAACGACGGAGCCCCCGAAGACGTCACTGCCAAACTGAGGA